TTATTTTTAATTATTAAATTTAATGGGATGCTAGCTTAACCTATGTCTAGTTTACTTATATTATGCAATGTTTGATTTAAAAATTACAGAATTACTGTGTAGAAACTCTGGCAATATATGGATTATAATGATAAATTATAATTTTGATAGCATTTTCAGGTGATAGTTTTGTTTTTTCAAAGAATTCTAATTAAAAGATCTGAAATTCTTTTACAGATGAGAAAAGTTTTATTGTACTGACAAAATATATTAAAATGTAAATTTTAGCTGATGATCAAATTTTATTCATAGTTCAGGCATGAATGAGTCAAACAAAACTAATAAAGTATGAAACAAAATTTCGACTTACAATTTTATTCAAAATTAACAAGATAAATTTTATTACAGTAAGTCCAATGAATGAATGTAAATTAATTCTGAATTCATTGATATGATTCATATCCACAAATTTTTATTATAGGTAATCCGTATTATTTTTATTGTTCAAAAACTATTTTCTGTATATAATCATAATTTTATAAATCTTTTAAATACTTAAGAAATAAAATTTACTATACTAAATATTAGATGAATTTAAAATGCTTAATTTCTATATTTGTAAATTAATAAGGAATATGATGATATAACATTTTGAGCAGATGTTTTTTTGATTACAAGTGTGGAACAACAGCTGCTCCAGTTAATAAGTCATGATATATGGAATTAGAGTATTTTTGTTTATATACTTAATTTCTGAATAGCTGTTTTGATTTATTTATTAACACAGTAAATATTTTTAAGAAAAAAAAATATATAATAATTATTTCTCAGAGAAATATAATTCTTTAAAACTATTTTCTTTACATTTTATTTAAAAAAGAACAATATTTTTTACAATGACATTGAAAGTTAAGTCTCATGAAATTATTAAATTTCATGTAAAATATATGAATGAAACTTATCACTGTATTCATACATGCATTTCATTAGTAGTTATGTTTCAAACTTGTTGACACACCAACATGTTTAATTATATACATAATGCTTGGATCTGTTATTAGTATTTTACCAAATGGTGACCTTTTATTGTGCATTTTGTAGATGTGAATGTATCAATTTCATAAATATTTGTAAAAAACTGATGAGGTACTTCAATTCAAAATGGATACTTTTTTGGGAAAATAAATTTATTTTCTAAGGCTGTTCTTGTGTCCAGTGATGGTGTAATAGTCTAAGAAAAAGTTGCCGACATTAGTACAGTCGACCCCCCTNAGAATCATTTGTTATAATTGTTATTTTTTATATTTTTCTGAAATTATTCATTATAAAGACATTTCTGCCCACTAATATCATGATATTTCTCTACATCATGGTTTCAAGGTTTAAAGTTATAAATAGCCAATGCTCTACAGACAAAAATAATTATAACTAAAAGATTCAAACATTTTAATTTAAGTTAATCCAAAAATCTGTTTAACATCAAATTATTTTTGGTATAAATCTGTGGTGAAAATTAGAATCTGAATTTTAATTTTTAAAGAACTTTACATAATTACATTTATGTAATTACGTAAAGTTATAAACTACAGTCATTTCTTGTTTATACAATTCTAGTTGTATGTTTTTTGCAATTATTATATTATATTAAATATTTTTTGGACTATATTTTCCCCATTATAAAACACTTCAGTTATGTGTTTTTTATTTATGCAATTTCATACTTATGCGCTGTATTTTTCAGTACTATATGATTTTTTTTTCTTCACTTATGCATTATTTACTTTGAAACAGAATAATTTAATGTAATTATTAAAAATATTATATAACAAATTATATATTCACTTAAGCTTAGACCACACTGACAGCAAATTGCCAACAGATGCAAAATGCAAACTGAATATGTAACGGGACACCATTTTTAATGAATTTACTTGTTTAGCAAAATTCCTCCACCACTTCAAAACATTGAAAATTTTCCTTTCTGCTTTTTGTAGTGCAAACTAATTACCTGAGCAAATAAAAATCACTTTCTAGTTTTTAATTCATGTTTACTATTGGGTTGACCAATAAGTTTGTGTGTGTGTGTGTGTGTTTTTTTTTTTTTAGATGAAAATAAAAGATAATTTTTTTTATAGAAAATAAACATTTTAGTCAATAATATAGTCACTATTTTTTATCAAGTACCTTTTGTCATCTTTCACTGAGTTTCATAACACTATGTTTCTGGTTTTTTTTAATGAAAAACTGTTTCAGGTTCCATTTTACAATGTCATTGGAAATGAAATGCTGTTTGTTTAAAGAATTTTGAAGGGCATAAAACAATTGGAAGGGACAAGGCCAGGTGAATACGGAGAATGAGGTATGTCATTGCAGCCAAGCTCCAACAATTTTTGCTGGGTTTGCAATGATGCATGTGGCTGGGCATTATCATGGTTGAAGACCAACACCCTTGCGACTTATCAATTTTGGACACTTCTCCTGAATCACTGCGTTTAATTCGTCCAGCTGGTTACAGTATATGTCAGAGTTGATTGTTTCATTTTTTGGAAGCAGTTCATAGAACTACTTCCAAAAAATGTTATATTTTATATACTGTATATACTGTAAAACACCTTTCTAATCCCACCAAATTCAGAGCATGACTTTGCTTAGATGAAGTCCAGCTTTTGAAATGGTTGGTGGTAGTTTACCATGCTTCCCAACAATCTTTTGCAATTGATGTTGATATAAACAATCCACTTTTTATCCTCCATTACCATTTGCTTCAGAAATGGATCACTTTCCTCACTTTTTGAGCGAATCACAGATGGGAATGCAAGTGGTGCAATTGGCTTCACTAAGTTTGTGTGAAACCCAAACATCAAGTTTACTATATGTATCTAAGTTGACACAGATGATTTTCCATGCTCAGTTTTGATATTTGAAGAATATCTGCGGTTTCCTGTTTTGTATGGCATGGACAAATTCTTAATTATCGACTAATTCTTTTATTTGATTGTTGTTGATCTCAACTGGCCAACCTGATTATGGTGCATCTTGAACAGAAAAATCTCTAGAACAAGATCTTGCAAACCACTTTTGGCACACATGTTCTTTCACAGCATTTTTACTGTACTCCTCACATATTTTTTTACAGGTTTGCACCATCAGCAAATAATAATATATGCAACGATAGAAATTTACATCTTGCCAAATAATTTAATTTTTTAGTTTTTTGCTTATATTATTTATTAAAGGCATTTAATATTTTTATTCATAATTATTTGTGTAATTCGTTGAAACTATATTAAAAGCTTTACATAAATATAATATATTTTAATTCAAAGACAGTTACCTCAAAGAAAAACAGCATTATTCCAAACTTCAAACCTGTTATAAATGTTTGATATAGAATCTGCTTAATCTGACACAGACCACTGTAGGTAGCTGAAAATATTTCTTTTTAATCAGTGAATGCTGGAAAGTGAGAAGAACGTGTGAATTTTAGTATTTAGAAGATAGTTTCAACTTTAGAATTAACAAGTTGAACTGTATAGAATAGAAGAAACTTGTCCACCCTGTTCCAGAGTGCTGCAAAGCTGTTACATTTGAGGTGGTCCTACAAAGTAGTTGAATAAATTTAAATGAGAAATAACTGTTCATGTTATGCTTTTCAGCCCTACTTATGCTGTGAATCTTTTTTACTTCCATAACTGAATGGAACGTGTTAAAACAATGCCCATTAACATTATTGGTGAGGTTGTGGTGTGAAATAACACTTAAATTCAATATTACATTATATGTAATACTGTAAATTGCATTGTTTTGGTTTATTGGGCTGCAATTTTAAAAATTGTAGACCTATAAATTTCCACTGTTATGCCTGTCTGTCTGTCTCTTTCTTTCCTTAATCTCAAAAACGGACTTAGATAGATGAAAGCCAATATATGAAAAGACCAATAGATGAAAGACCAGATATGGAAAGATTAGGGACAGGAGGCTCCAATTAACTGTTTATGAAGTTCCAAGCCAGAAGTCACATTATTTCAGTTCAAAAAATTTTTCCCTGAAAGGAGTTAGATGACTGGAATGACTGTATTGCTAACAGGAAAAGTATGATGTACAGAGGCTTGTTCTTGGTTTCTTCTCTGTACTACATATGCTGTTGTTATCATAAATTGCAGTCATGTCTTAAATATGCTGTTTTGCAAATCTATTTAATGCTATTTGGTATATATCATAAGTGATGCGATTTCCATGGTGTTAATGTAATTTATGAACTTTTCTTATTACAAAGTAAATAAACTGAAAGCTCTTCACTATGTATTTAGGTTATTAATGATCTATCCTTGAGCTCTTATTAATCATCATCATATTTTTCCATGTTCTGTTTTGATGCACTTGTATCTAAATTCCTTTGAAATAATTTTTCTGATTGTTACTTTTTTACTTCACAATGTAGCTGTAAATTAAAACTTTGGTTTGTAATATTGTATGAATTGTGCTTAAATTTATAAAATTATATATATATATATATATATTGTCAGCCTAGCTCACAAACCCCATATCTCCATATTTAGTATTTGAGATTATTGTACTAGTCCGCATAATCAAAATAATGTCACAAATCTTATGTATGGTCACAAACCTCATGTTTCTGGTACATTTGATTTTAGAGGAAAAATTCATTGCCACAAATGTGGTACCTCTTTCAAAAAATCAATTTCTGATGTCTCATGTAAAGTAGATATAAATATATCAACATCCCAATAACCCAATGTATTAATAATCTCCAGGCTATTCTGAATTTAAACTTATAGTTTCTACTTTAGTTTAGAGATGGTGCCTAATGTCTACCTCTGGCTCTTATCATGTAATTTCTAAATATAATATTTGTATGATAATTTCTGCCAGGTTATTTTGGCTGTTGGTTGGTTAAAGTAGATATTTTAGAAATAAGAGATTTGTGAGCTTGGCTAATAATGTAAGATATAAAATATATTTCTATTAAATAATTTATAATTTAAAAATTTTTATTTTAGTATGTAGACAATGAAGAGGTGGTACTATGGATGAATACAGTTGGACCATATCACAACAGACAAGAAACATACGCATATTTTTCTTTACCATTTTGTCCTGGACCTAAGAAAAGTATTAGTCACTATCATGAAACACTTGGTGAGGCATTACTAGGAGTAGAATTGGAATTTAGTGGACTTGATATTCATTTTAAAGGTAAAAGTATTTCAAAATATAAATTTCTGTGTGTGAAATTGAGTCTTTAAAGTTTTAATTTAATTTTAAGACACTAAATAAATGATATTTATGACAACAAATTATTTTTGATATTACAATAAATTAATATTTTTCATCACACACAAAAACCTTCAAACTCCAGTAATACGTGTTTACAAAACAGCGAACATTTTCAACCTGATCAGGGTCTTCCTCAGGCTACAGTTATGAGGAATTTAAATAAGTGAGGAAGACCCTGATAAGGTCGAAAATGTTTGCTGTTTTGTAAACATGTATTACTGGAGTTTCAGAAGGTTTTTATGTGTGATGAATTATATTTCTCCTAGTATTTGCTAAGTATTTCCAGTATTCATTTGTTAAATTAATATTTATAAAATAACTACGAAATTACCAACAAACTATGGTTTATTGGTAATTTTGTAGTTATTTTATTAATTCTTACACCAGTAGTGTTGGTATGATGGATGATTATTATTTATATTTATTATAATTGTAATGGATTTCTAATACAAGTTATCTGATATCATATGCTAAATTAAAAATTACTTTTATATGAGCTTGTAAAGTTGGAAAATTTGGAATTTGTTTTATATTTATGCAATTTATGCATACTTAAACCACTTCTGGTTTCTATATATAAAATGAGAATGACAAATATTTACACGAGTCTTGTATATTCACACAATGTTAAAACAAAAGATTTTTTTAAAGCTTTAAGATAAATCTGGATTTAAAAATAAAAGTTTATTTTTGATATATTTATATGGCTTAAAATAATACATTTAACCTTGAGAATATATGGATAGTTTTCAGCTAATTTAATTTTTAAATAAAACAATTCTGTTTTTAGCATTTAGTAGTGTGATTTTGTATATAATTCAGTCAGCTTGAAATTGTTTAATGTCTTTTTAATTTTCTTCATGTTTGATTAAACTTTAAGACTTGACTTCACTTGATTTTATAGTATAACCACAGCCACTTCAAGTAAAAGGGCCAAATAGTTCTGGATTTCTTGGAACTAAGTATTTCTTTAAATCATATCACACATTGCTGAAGTCCAGCAATGTTGATTGTGATTTGTGGAAATAAATAATTTTTTTTAATGAAAATTACAGGAAAGATTTGTTTACTAATATTTAAAAGAACTAATATAATGGAATATACACCAAAAGCTTTAATTCCTAATTTGTTTCATTAATTAAAAGAAAATATAACAGTCAATAACATGTTTCAGTAGTTTTTAATAATATATGACATGTCCAGAAATTAAGTCGTTATTGCACATCCTGACCGCAGGTGCTGGTGGTCAGCTATCATCATCTGATCGTTATCATAGAGATCAAATGAAGAATGATTTAGCATATCAGATTTTCGTGCAGAATTCCTCCAAATTTCTCATTTACATCTATATGAAATTATTCATGAAGATCTGTGATATGTTTAGGCAAACATTTCACAGATTGAATACAAGAAACCACAGATTGTAACAACAATCACATTCTTGGACCAGTATGTCAAAAATGGTTGCCTGTTAGGTCATATTTTGACAGGCAATGAAATTTGGATTTCATACACAACACCAGACACTAAGCAGTAGTCAGTGGATTGGAGGAATACTGGCTTACCAAAGACAAAATGAAACAGGCACTTTATACAAAAAAAATTCATGTGCATCATTTTTTTGGGACTAGAAGGGGGTTTTGCATATTGAGTTCCTGCATTGTGGAGAAAACAGTAAACAATGAAAGTTATTGTGATGATATGAAAAATTCATCAGGAGTTGCTCTGAAAAATTTTAAAAATATTTTGTCACCATTTCACCAGTTTTAAATTCTTTTTTGTACGTCAAATTATTTATTGCCACTAGTTTTACTTACTAATTAATGTGGGTGCTTGGAAACCTTATCAGTTTGACATCTGGAAAGCAAAAGTAACATGATAAACTCTCTCTTACAAGGAGAGGTCAAACATTGGGTCTTTGATTCAAATGAAACTTGGTTAGAATGTAGTCTTAAACACAAACCAGCTTCTTGTCCAAATAATAGGACCCACATTTCAAGCATTTCCAAAAAATGGGCATCTGAAAATTTAGTGTTTAGCATATTACTCTCTGGAAGTTTCATATTCAAACATGGCAATAGCTGAGTGAATAAGGTACTAGGCACTGGAGCTAAACAATGTAGATTTGAATGTTTGAAATTTTAGTTTAGATTTTTAAAAGTAACATTATTATTTTACTGCATTATTATTACTATTATTATTCCTCACATTTAAAGCTTATAAAACAAGAGATTAAAAATTCTGATATAATTTCCTGTTTATGGAAAGCAATTCTCTTACATTGTTAAATAAAATTTTATTCATATTTATTTTCAGATATGATGGTATTGTGACATTTGAAGTGTAACAAACATGAGCACATGAGAAAATTGTCCATAATATTAACAATAAAAAAATAAAATGCTGTGACTATACTTTATTTTCATATTACTTGTCTTTTTCATTCATGTGCAGTTATATCTGAAGCTTATTCACTTGTGAAGATGAAATATGTAAAATACATGAAAATTAATGTGAAGAAATAAGCATTTTACTTAATGATGTAAAAGAGTTAAATCTGCAGAGGCTTGTTTTGTCTAAACAGGAAATGACATTTTAGTTTTTAATCTCTTGTTTTATAGGCTTAAAACATGGGTAATAATAATAATAATGCTAATGATATGGTAAAATAATAATATTACACATTAAAAAAAAACACTAAAAAGGTTAGAATCTAAATTGTTTAGCTCCAGTATTTAGTGTCTTGTTCACTCAGCTATCACCACCATGAAATTTCCAGACTTATAAGCTAAACACTAAATTTTCAAAGGCCCAATTTTTGGAAACTTGAGAAGTAGGTACTATTATTTGGATGACAAGTTGTTTGTGTTTAGGGCTAAGTGCTCACCAAGTTTCATTCAAATTGGAGACCCGAATGTCTGGCCCTTCCCTTTGTTAGCAATAGGAATCATTTTTGAATAATTGTTCAATGAATAATTTCAAATAACACATTTCATCACAATGTTTAAAACAGCATTTCACAGGATCTGTCATGTCAAAAAAAAATTTTTTTTTCAGTAGACCAAAAGTGAAAAAAAGTTATCCCAAAAAATTTCCTAAAATTTCAGTTAGTCGATAAAAAATCCCAATCTGGAAACACTGGGCAGCATTGCACAAAACTGCTTTTGGTTCTGAATATCATTTCCTGCTTTTCTGTTCAAACTTGCCACGTGATGTCATTAAATTGCTAGGTGTGTGGTGCATGGGTTTCCCTATTGTATTTATGGAAGCTCAACATTTTGCTGTTTTTTCCAAAGTGTGATTTGTGATTCATTTTTACACTGAATGTGAAAACAAGTGGACTAAGGTTTTTATTGCCACTTGCTATTGCTAGTATATTTTTATTGCTACTTTAATAAAAATATCGTCAGGTGACGATTTTGGTTCTATGCAGTGTGATCCCTGAATTATGGCAGACTAAAACAAGATATGGTACTGCGTTTTGGAGTGTTTTTGCTTCAGAATAATGCTTACAACACACATGAATATGGAAAAATTCAAATAGGAAATCTATGTAGTAAACAAGTATTCAAATATTTCTGAATACTTGTATGTTTCCAACCTTTTTATTTCACCTGTTTTTTGTATTTGAAGACATTTTTGAGAGGACAACAATTGAACAGCAATGAAGAGCTGTAGATAACTGTGCAAGGTAGGATCTGTAAGTTGGCATGAGACTTTTTTGATGAAGTTTTGTAAAAACTTATTTGTTGCTACAACAAATTTCTGAACTCAAAGGTAAATGTGTTGAAAAATAGCTGTAACTACGTATTTTCCTAAGACAATAAATGCAAGTTAAAGTAAGTTTGTTCCTTTTTAGCAAATCAGGACTTAAATTCTGTGACATGCATTATATTTATGATATAATACTTGCAATATAACGTTATAAGTATTTATTTTCAGAATAATAATGAAAATATAGTATTAAAATATTTTTAGGATGTTGACAAAATGTGTTATAACTAACAAAAGACTCTGTTTCATATCATTAATAAGACACCAATACTAATAAATTTTAAATTCAATTTATTATTTGATAAAATGTTCTCTAATGATGAGACATTAATAATCTTTGTAATAATAATGATAAACGAATGTAAAAATATATAACTAGCACTATTCAAATAACAAAAAATGAGATGAAATGTATTAGTGTTACTGTCTTATTGATGATTTTATCTTGTTTTCAAAATATTAATTTTTTCTTGATAATTTAAAACAAATTAATTTTAATGTGTTATTTCAATCCTATTTATGGAATTGTTTTTTATTATTTTTATAGCAAATATGGCAAAAAATCTGTATTGTGAAGTTGATTTAAATGAAGAAATGTTACAAGCTTTTATATATGCAGTAAAAAATCATTATTGGTATCAAATGTATATTGATGATCTTCCAGTTTGGGGTAACTATATAAAATTTTATTTTTTAAATTCCTTAAATGCATATTCTTTTTAATATTAAATTAAATATTAAATTGTATCCTTGCATATCTATCTCTTTGTGCATTATTATTATTATTATTACACAATGGAATTTAATTGTATAGATATTTAGTTTTTATTGATTTTGTAGTGATGTAATTTTGGATGTTTAGCAAAACAGTTCTAATAATTTAGCCATTTAGTATTTAGACAAGTTGACAAGATGGCTTTTCATGTTAAGACAGAAAACTGTTACAATAGAAGATCTAGATTTGAATCTGACCCTTATATATTTTTGTAATTATAATGAGTAGTTAGATTGGAGGTTTCTTATTTCTCATCTTTGCTGGCTGATCCTATTACAGGTCAGACTTATCTATAAATAGCCTGTAACAAGCAAAATTATGATCAACTAAATATTTTAGTATGCTGGTACCCTCATATTACAAATCAGTATCTGCATCTTTGATAACTTTTGATTTTCTGTATTAAAAAAAATATATATTTTTCATAAATGGCTTGCATCCAGAAAATAATGGATATTTTGGAGCATAACGAAATATAAGTTAGAAAGAACATTGTAACTAATAGAAGTTGTATAATCGGTTAATATTTAATGACAACATTATCAAAAAGGATAATATTTAAAAAAAATCAAAACTAGTACAAAGTATTTAAAATAATTATTAAAATTTAATCAAACAGTGCTATTTGCTATTAATAATGATACCATTTAAATGGAATAGGAAGTCAATTTATAAGATAAAGTTTCTCTAGTGAGGAGTATGCTGCTACTAGCTTACATGTAAACCATGCTCTTAGCAAATCAGATGCATAATCTGTGAGTGAATTTTCTCTGCTGCAGTTTTTCCTTGCGTCTTGTTTTCAGTTTCATTTATTTTCTAATAAAAATAATAATTAATTTGATATCATTTGAAAGTTTTGTTACTCTACAAGTTTTTTTTACAAATTATTTATGATAAATATATTTAGCATGTAAAGAGCATATCATTCTTAGTCATTATGTACTGTACATATAATAAATTTTCGTCATAATTTCTATTGGTTAAACAATTATTTTTTACTTTTAAAATTTATTTTTACTACATATACTTCCAGAAAAATAACAATTTTTATTTTATGAAATTAAGTTTTATCTACTTATGAACTTTATACTGGTATAAAATAATATAAACATACTAGCTTGCTATGAATCTACATAATAAGGCAATGCACAATGTGTGTTAATTTTAAATTCTCTTATTTATTTAATCTTTAACTGTCTACTTGGACATAGCTTATTAGTAGGATGTTACACTGGTGTTTAATAATTGATATAAAACTGACAGTTAGATCAGAAAAATAAAACTTTTATTAAAATTCACTTGTAATAGTAATTTTTTCTGTAATAGTAATCTCTTATTTATTAATAAATTTTATTTGAATGATAAATGGCCAAATGATTCTTTAAAATATGTAGCCTAGGAGCATATACCAACATATTTGATATCACATAATGTTTGTCTGTTGGAAGCTGACATCTTATATTATTTGCAAGTAAATTGGGATTACTAAGTCTCACATGACATTTTAAAAAAACTTTAATAACAAACATTTTTGGTAATCACAAAAACTACTTAGTTACATATGACTAATGAACAGGCTTATTACACACCCAACCTATTTAATTAACTTATCCCAAAATGCATTTTTTTTTATCCTTATTGACCCTTATCAGTTGGGTGACATACAAAACAGAGTCTATGGTGACAATTTTCCAACATTACATCTATATCTATATATATATATATATATATATAAATGGACGTGTATGTCCCTATATTTCNGTTGCCTTTTTGCAATTTATGATTAATAAAAATAATAACATTTTACTTACAAATTAAAATTAAAATAAAAAGAAATTTTAACAAAGTTATAAACCTTGGCACTGCGAACGTCTAGTCTGGTCTAATACACCGATAGTGCTACTTGTTCATAGATGGTGCGTATAATTGAATTAAGTCATATACCGAACAAAATTTGTTTCGTCCAAACAGGACATATTCCGAATTGGACGTATTCTAAAACAGACGTATACCGAGGTACCACTGTATTTTGATTTTGAAATCAGTTTCAACCTTCCATCTTAATTAGAAGTGGATGAGATATGGATTGAAGTTTTGAGGAAATGATAAAAACAAGATAAATAAAAGTATTTAAAAAGATGAGATTAAACTATATATTACTCATTTGAATAATATTAGCATATATTAGTTTAGTACTTAGTATGCTGGTAGTAATGAAGTATGTTTGTATTCAGCAAGCTTACCCTACAACTTTGTAAGTAAAAAATGCATGAGACCCATTGTGAGCATATGAAGCTCATTTCAGTCCACGACCAGAAAAGGTTGCTCATCACTGATGTAAACAGTTAATGCAAATAACTGTTCCAATTAGTGTTTCTCCCCTTTATCTCCAGGCAAAATTATATTCTAAATTATCAATGTATTCTGGTTTGTTACTTTCAGATATCTGAATTATTTTTAATTATTAAATTTAATGGGATGCTAGCTTAACCTATGTCTAGTTTACTTATATTATGCAATGTTTGATTTAAAAATTACAGAATTATTGTGTAGAAACTCTGGCAATATATGGATTATAATGATAAATTATAATTTTGATAGCATTTTCAGGTGATAGTTTTGTTTTTTTCAAAGAATTCTAATTAAAAGATCTGAAATTCTTTTACAGATGAGAAAAGTTTTATTGTACTGACAAAATATATTAAACTGTAAATTTTAGCTGATGATCAAATTTTATTCATAGTTCAGGCATGAATGAGTCAAACAAAACTAATAAAGTATGAAACAAAATTTTGACTTACAATTTTATTCAAAATTAACAAGATAAATTTTATTACAGTAAGTCCAATGAATGAATGTAAATTAATTCTGAATTCATTGATATGATTCATATCCACAAATTTTTATTATAGGTAATCCGTATTATTTTTATTGTTCAAAAACTATTTTCTGTATATAATCATAATTTTATAAATCTTTTAAATACTTAAGAAATAAAATTTACTATACTAAATATTAGATGAATTTAAAATGCTTAATTTCTATATTTGTAAATTAATAAGGAATATGATGATATAACATTTTGAGCAGATGTTTTTTTGATTACAAGTGTGGAACAACAGCTGCTCCAGTTAATAAGTCATGATATATGGAATTAGAGTATTTTTGTTTATATACTTAATTTCTGAATAGCTGTTTTGATTTATTTATTAACACAGTAAATATTTTTAAGAAAAAAAAATATTTTTTTTATCTGTACACTAGTGTGTGATTTTCAGGGAAATTTTAGATCCTGAAAATATTCTGTATCACTAACATATAAGCAATAATTAGTAAAATCATTTTAGAAATTCATAATTTAAGAAAGTAAATTCAAAACATACTTAACAGAATGTATTTTAAATTTACTTACTTTATATAAATATTTAATATTTTTAATCGATTCTTGAATTTACAAAAAAATATTTAATTTCATTAACAAAAATTTTATATACTCTATTTAAAACTGATTTTATATACTGTTCTAGTTATATACTATGTTAGTAAATAGCCCCATTCTATCTTATAATTTGGATAAATAAATAAAATTCAGTTGTGAAGTGTTTGGTCTAAGAAACTCTTTTACTAATAAAGCAGTCTGATATTTAAACTTTAGTAATTTATTATTTTTACCACTAATGATATTTAAAATCATATATGCAAATTATACTCCTGAAAAATTACTTCTTAAATCTTTAAATAAATCTTTTGAATCTATTTTACTACTCATTACTCTGTTAAACTACTTTAAAAATGGAAATAAACAGAAAAAAATAATACAGAATAGAATAGAAAAAACTATAAAATTTTAACAGTGCAGTATTATCATTTTTTAATTTCTGTTTTAATGATCATAGTGTCTAAAGTTAATTCTTGATTTAAAATACTACATTCAAAATAATTTGCTTTAATAAATTGGAGACTTGTCACTGTGATAATTGATTACTTATTAATAAATAAAATTATAAAATTTTTCCATCCATATAATTTTATGGGTGTGGCTTATAATTGGGAAAATTTTTAATATACTATATGATAAATTATTTTAACTTGTAATAATTCATCAATTTAAAAAAAGTATCTAATAATTAAAAATTTCCATTTACTTATAAAAACTAATCTCGTCTTAAAAATTAAAAATAATTAATAATAATCATTAAATGATAAGGCCAGAATAATTATTGTGCTGGAACTTGACTAATTAATTTTGTAGAAACTACTTAACAAAAATACTTCTCAATGACTGGAATTAAATACTGAGTACAATCAACTAAACCTTTAACTTCCAGTAACAAAAATTTTAATGTCAAATTGACGAATATTTTTCACCTTAACCAAGATCTGCATCAGGTCATCAACAATATTGGAATGTGCAGAACACTTTTCAAAAATATTTTTTTAAATAATTAGAACAAAAACATAATGATGTAAAACTACAAAAAATTATAAATGTAAATAATCAGTGGTAATTTTAAGAAGTGTAAAATTATAACAGATATAAAAGTAAGACATTTAAAATATTAAAAAAAATAATAGCTTGTTGATAATTCCCAGTTTTTCATAAAAGCCTTGCCACACATATGAGATACTTAATTTAGTTTTCTGTAAAATTATATGCTTGTTACTATATACACATTAATGTTGTATTGATGTTCTGATGCTTACCTAGCAAATAAATGTTTAATAATTATATATACAAAACTGATTACAATTATAATTATTTAGTTGAATTTTGTTAAATGTAACACTTAACTACAGGATTTACTTTAAAAATTTTTAAAGATATCAAATATCTTCATATACTGTGTTTATTTTGGATTAAATTTTTAAATAAATGGATATCAATTAAGTAAACA